CCTAAACTCTAAACCCAAACCTTAAACGCCTAAACACACTTCTGGAAGCAGGAACCCCCTCTGAGACGAAAGGCTCGCGTCGGCTTTGGCCTTCTCCAACACCAAAGCGGACCTCTGAACCAACGAGGTTCAAATCTTATGGCTCCTTATTATTGTTATGGTGTAATATTTTGGGGGGAGGCTCCTTATTATAATTTATAGCATAATATACCCCGAAGCCCTATTCTAATTATTAAGGCCCCTATATTACTTTGTTAACTTCTCGGCTTTTGTTGGTTTAGGGTCTAGGGTGGGGGGAAACCCGGTCGGCCCCCGCTTAGCTGTAGAAGGAGTAGGTGCTCTGTTACCTTTAGGCTTTGTGCTTTGGGGCTCATTGCGGGTTTAGGGCTTCAGGCTTCAGGGCTCCCTAATTTCAAAGAGGGCTCGGCCCTAAACCCTAAACCTAAACCCTAAATCCTAAACCCTAAACCCTAAACTCTAAACTCTAAACCCTAAAGCCTAAACCGTAAACCCCGATGTTCGGGGTTCGATCTTCTTGGGGTGCTGAGGGCTTCGGAGATGCGATTCTTGAGGGCCGGGGCGGCTGAGGGAGGGCGGAGCACGGGACCACGAAGGTACTATAATGCGGGTTTAAGGGTTAGGGCTTTATGGGTGCAGGGTTTAGGGTTTAAGTTCAGGGCTTTAGGTTTAGGGTTAAAGCTTAGGGTGTAGGCTGGCATTATGGTACTAGGTTACCAGGGGGTTACCCTAAACTCAAAGCCTAAATCACGAACCCCTGCAATTCAATAGTGTGCATTGTGCAAGCCCTCTTTCATCGATTTAGGGTTTGCAAGTTCTGCTTGGATGGCAACCTCAAACATGGCTTCCCCACCGATCTGCGATTCATCAGAACTGATGACCCTAGGCCCTAAGACTCTTTTTGCTTGGTTGAGTTGGAGACTAAGAACACTACGAAAGGACCCCCCAATGTAGAAGCTAACTATCTAGACTCTGCTCCTAGACACCAACAAAAACCTACGAAAGGACCCCAATGTAACAAGTGGCGCCGAGAGGCAAGCCAAGCTCCAACGTGAAATGTTCAACTCCGAGTTCAACCAAGAATCGCAACGTGCATCCCTGAAGTACGCCGCAGCAAAAGAACCAAAAGCTACACTGCACGGGTTCGGGTTTGAGGCACCTGATCTCGGCCAACTCTTCCTCCTCGAGCCCAGCATTTTCGCCCTGCGCGAAGATGCCGGTCATTAAAAAGACGATCTTACCATTCTCCTTCTGCTGACCAGTGACTAGACGAGCCTAGCAGCCCAATGTAAATTGCTGTGAACACTAGAATGAACCTCTTCATCATCGTCAGTGCCACCAGCAGCATTGCCAATACGACATCTGCCACTGCAACCACCACCACCACCACCACCACCACCATCACCATTCGACGACGGCAACGCCACCACGGTCGGTGCCGACGCCGTGAGCACCAGCACCGGCACTATCATAATCACTATCGGATCACTTCCGACTGAACCATCAAGGTCAACATATATGTAGTCATTGACTCTCACCAACGCCAACACAGTCATCAAGGCAATCATTGCAGCCGATGTTTGCACTCTCCGACTTCAAGCGACTCCCGCCTCTGCAACAGCTGCCGCCATGAGCTTCACATCCTCAGCTGCGAAGGATCGGATCGATGGGCTGCAACCGGCTACACTGACAAAGGACTCCCTGCAGCGAGGGGAGGACCACAGCTGCAAAGTCAACAACTGCCTGTAACAGCGGTGCATAACGCTGACGCGAGTACTCGCTTGCTGATGCTGTGCGCTTGGTATATTAAGAGTTGAAGAGGCAGGTCGTAAGTTTGCAAGGGGTCCGATTGCACGGGTGGTGGCCAGTGAGCAAGAACAGTCGAAACGACACGGAGAGGTAGGGGATTGGGGCACGTTCACTCACCCAAGCTCACACAAAGCCTAAACCGCAAACCTCATATACCCTATAAACCCAGAAGTCTTAATCCTTAACCCTGAACCCTAAAAGGAACCATAAAAGAAAGTAACCCCCTAAACCCTAACCCCTAAACCCCTAAACCCTAAACCCTAAAACCCTAAAAACCCTAAAACCCCAAACCCCAAACCCTCAAACCCTAAAACCCTAAACCCTAAACCCTAAAATCCTAAACCGTAAAACCCTAAAACCCTAAACCCAAAAAACCTGAAACCCTAAACCCTAAACCCCTATAAGCCCCCAAACAAAGCCCTCAGTGGATGCAGCGCGCCTTGAGACGAAGAGGCTCCGCCAGGCCCTGTCGGTGGTTCCATCAACTCTCTTTTACTTACCCATAGGCCTAGGGGTTTAGAGCTCTAGGGTTTCGGGAATAGGGTTTTAGGGCTTGGCGTTTAAGGTTTAAGTCAGTTTAAGGTAGTTTAAGGGTTTTGTGGCTTTGGGGTTTAAGTTACCCATAGGCTCCTAAGTAGTTCCTTTTTATGGTTTATACTTAGAATCCTATAAGGTAATCCCAAAAAGGAACGACTTAGGGGCCTATGCTTAAGGTGCTAGAAATTAATACGGTTTAGGGTGTAGGGTTTTAAGGTTTAGGGTTTAGGGCTTTGGGGTTTTAGGGTTAGGGTTTAGGCTTTAGGGTGCTATAATTTAACAGGGTTTAGGGTTTAGGGTGCTATAGTTTAACAGGATTTAAGGTTTAGGGTTTAGGGTTTAGGCTTTGGGGTGCTATAAATTAATACGGTTTAGGGTTTAGGGGTTTTAGGCTGCCTAAATTAATAGGGTTTAGGGTTTAGGGTTTAGGCTTTAGGGTGCTATAAACTAATAGGGTTTAGGGTTTAGGCTTCAGGGTGCTATAAACTAATAGGGTTTAGGGTTTAGGCTT